TATATATATATATATATATATATATATATATTTGACAGCATGGAGATTTATGTATTTCTATACTTTACTCCATAGATGACTCACATATATTTGCCTAATGTATTAAGCAAAATTTAAAGCAACTCACCATATGTATTATTTCTTCTGTTAAAAGCTAGTCTAAATAAAAATGCTTTAATTTCAAAGTACTGGTTGATTCACTACACAGAAGTCAGGAAAACGGAAAAAATCAATAGGAATTGGTAGGGCAGTGCAAAGGAAAAAAGTAAAACAGCATTTGAGACATGGGTAATCCCTGCAATTCTATACATACTTATCAAATCTTTTTATGAATTATAAATTCATTGTAGACATTATAATTATAGAATATAGACATTAAATGAAGTTCCAAGTGTTCCAAGTACATCAAAATTTAATATATTCTTAAATGTACATGAAATTCCATGTGTATTTATTTGGTCCTTGAATATTAAACATTAGACACGTCTTTGGATTCTCCTTCTCTTCCAAGATTTACCTTTCCTGATTCAACTCATTTTAAGTGTTTCACAATATATTGCTACATGTACATAAGCACATACATATACATCATCATGAAATAATAGCTTAAAAACATCATAAACATTTTTGGTTTGGTTCACCATCTGTGTAATAGAGCTAACTTGAGACACATTGTAAGAAGAAAGTTAGGGGTCCCCAGAAAGAAATATGAGATGTAGTTTTTGAGACACAAGAGAAGTCATTTTAGGCCCCAGCTATTTTCTGTGATCAATGCTTTACCAGCTCTATTTGCCCAAGCACACTTCTCCTAGATCTTCTTAGGAGGTATCAGAATCACAAAACAATGCAAAAAACTCAGCAGTTCAGGGTTTTAAGGGAACAAAGGAAATGAAAAAAACTAACAGTCTCTACCAGGTCAGGAAACAGCCTAATCATATCAGAGACATGAATCTGTGGTACCTGCTACTTTGATGAATTCCTGGATCAGTTGTAGCAGGTTTTTGGTGGAATCTTTTGGGTTTTCTATATACAGTATCATGTTGTCTGCAAAGAGTTAAAGTTTGACTTCCTCCTTGCTGATTTGGATGAATTTTATTCCTTTATGTTGTCTGATTGCTGAGGCTAGGATTTCCAATACTATGTTGAATAACAGTGGCACGAATGTACATCCCTGTATTTTCCTGACCTTAGGAGGAAAGCTCCCAGTTTTTCCCCATTGAGGATGATATTAGTGATGGGTCTCTTGTATATTGCTTTTATGATCTTGAGGTACTACCCTTCTATCCCTACTTTCTTGAGGGTTTTTATCAAGAAAGAATGTTGTATTTTGCTGAATGCTTTCTCTGCATCTATTGAGAGGATCATGTGGTTCTTGTCCTTCTTTCATTAATATGATGTATCACATTAATTGATTTGCAGATATTGAACCAGTCTTGCATCCCAGGTTTAAATCCCACTTGATTGTGGTAAATAATTCTTTTAATGCATTGTTCAATCCAGTTGGCTAGTATCTTGTTCATAATTTTTGCATCCATATTCATTGGGGAAATTGGTCTGTAGTTCTTTTTAGTGGGGTCTTTGTCTGGTTTTGGAATCAAGGTAATGTTGGCCTCATAGGATGAGTTTGGAAGTTCTCCTTCCATTTCTATTTTTTGGAACAACGTCAAAAGAATAGGTGTTAGCTCCTCTGTAAACGTTTGGTAGAATTCCTCTGAAAAGCCATCTGACCCTGGACTCTTATTTTTGGGGAGGTCTTTATAACTAATTCAATTTCTTTGCTAGTTATGGGTCTGTTCAAATTTTCTATTTCTCCCTGTTTCAACGACATGCAGAAGAATGAAACTGGACCACATTCTTACACCATTCACAAAAATAAACTCAAAATGGATGAAAGATCTAAACACAAGACTGGAAGCCATCAAAATTTTAGAGGAAAAAGCAGGCAAAAACCTCTTTGACTTTGGCCGCAACAAGGTCTTACTTAACACATCTCTGGAGACAAGATAAACAAAAGCAAAAATGAACAACTGGGACCTCATTAAGATAAAAACTTCTGCACAGTGAAGGAAAAAATCAGCAAAACTAAAAGGCAACCAATAGAAATGGGAGAAGATATTTGCAAATAACAAATCAGATAAAGGGTTAGTATCCAAAATCTATAAAGAACTTATCAAACTCAACACCCAAAAAGCAAATAATGCAGTGAAGAAATGGGCAAAAGATATAAATAGACACTTTTCCAAAGAAGACATTCAGATGGCCAACAGACACATGAAAAAAATGCTCAACATTGCTTATCATCAGGGAAGTACAAATCAAAACCACAATGAGATACCACCTCACACCACTCAGAATGGCTAAAATTAACAACTCAGGCAACAACAGATGTTGGCAAGGATGTGGAGAAAGGGAAACTCTTTTGCACTGCTGGTGGGAATGCAAACTGGTTCAACCACTCTGGAAAACAGTATGGAGGTTCCTCAGAAAAATTAAAAATAGAACTACCCTACAACCTAGCAATTGCATCACTAGGTATTTATCCAAAGGAGACAAAAACGTTGATTCAAACATACACCCCAATATTTATAGTAGCACTATCAACAGTAGTCAAATTATGGAAAGAGCCTAAATGTCCATCAATGGATGAATGGATAAAGAAGATGTGGTATATATATGATGGAATATTACTCAGTGATTAAAAGAATGGAATATTACTTGGCAATCATAAAGAATGAAATCTTGCGATTTGCTACAATGTCGATGGAACTAGAGGATATTATGCTAAGAAAAATTAGTCAGAGAAAGACAAATATCCTATGACTTCACTCATATGTGTAATTTAAGAACCACAACAGATGAACCTCGGGAAAGGGAAATAAAAATAACATACAAACAAAGAGGGAGACAAACCATTAAAGATTCTTAAATACAGAGAACAAACTGAGGGTTGCTTGAGGGGAGGTGGATGGGAAATGGGCTAAATGGGTGATGGGCATTAAGGAGGGCACTTTTTGGGATGAGCACTGGGTGTTATTTCTAAGTGATGAATCACTACATTCTACTCCTGAAATAATTATTACACTATATGCTAACTAACTTTGATTTAAATAAAGTTTAAAAAATAAAATAAATAAGCAAGACCCTGCACTCTTTACTCAAGTTAAGAGAAAAAGCCCCCATCCACTTTATACTGGCTCTCTGAGCATGCCCATAGCCCCTTTCTCTTGTCCAACATTTACTTCTGTTTCATTATAATGTGAAAATCTCCACCCTAGGAGGAGCACAACCTTCATTAACATAGCACAAAATGCGTGTATAAGGCATGTTTTGTCAGGACGCCTGCACAACCTTATGCCCGCCTTTAGATGTGATGGCAAAGCTCCCCTTTCTGAATAGTCATCCTAAATCCTAAATAAAAAGAAACTGCTCACTCTTGCTTGGGCTTTGGAAGCTAGTCTTTGTGATTTTATTTGTTGCAAATAAAGTTTTCCTTGTGTGACATCACCACCTGGTATAGTCTCTATCTGTAACTCACCAAGGAGCAAACTCATGCTAGTTCAGTTACAGCATCATCAAAAGTAAATGGTTAAATTTATTTTAAAACAAAACATAACTCCAACCCTTTGTTTTCTGACATGTGAACCCTAAGTAAGGTGATCGTAGAAAGTCACATAATAAAGGTAAACAGACAGTAGAAGTAATACCTGAAACTGTTGTTCAAGAGGCTTCATACTTCCTGTGCCATTATAACCATAAACTCTAAAATTACGAGGTAAAAAAGCCCTGTAAAATAAAGATATAAAGTATTTAATGGGAAATTTGTTTCCTAAGCTTCTATTTTGATATGTATTCCATTGTATTTATTATAGACAGGTAGGTAAACAGAGTCAGGGTGGAAATAGAGAGAGATTCCTGAAAACATGCACTTTGTTCTAATTTTACTCAAAAACCCTGGTGTCCAGACCTTTCTTTACTCACCTTACTGTCACACTGTCCTCTAGGCTGTTTTTAATTTTTTTTAATATTTATTAATTTTTGAGAGACAGAGAGAGACAGCGTGCGTGAGCGGGGGGGGGGGGGCAGAGAGAGAGGGAGACACAGAATCTGAAGCATGCTACAGGCTCTGAGCTGTCAGCACAGAGCCTGACACCAGGCTCGAAACCACAAACCATGAGATCATGACCTGAGCTAAAGTCAGATGCTTAACCGACTGAGCCACCCAGGCGCCTCCTCTAGGCTGTTTTTTAAAACACGATAGGCAAGTTTTGTCTCAGGGTATTTGTACTAGTTGTTGCCCCTTCCTGGGATATTCTTCAATATAGCTCATTGTCTCATCTGTTTCAAGTGTTTGCTTACATATTCACTTAGTGAGGCTTATCTTGGCAAGTTTATTTCTTAAATGCCCTTTCCTAGTATCAAAACATAGGATTTCCAAACAATACTTCTAACTTTGCTCTTTATTTTTGCTTACGCATTTGTCACCTTCTAACATTAATCCTAATCCACTCATTTCTTATATCATTATTAGTTTCATTTGATAACAATATAAGCAGATTCTTGTCAATTTGGTTTACCAGTTCATCTGAAGCACTTAGAAGAATATCTGTAAAATAGCAAATGGTCAGTAAATAGTGAATTAATGTGGCAAGAATTCAACAAATTAGATGGAGATCTCAAATTTCAATATATTATTTGTAAATGTGGGAAGAATATGCCCTATAAAGACAAACAGAAAATGTAGATATCCCATTTTTATTTTCCTAATAAGCATAATATAAAGATTTTTGACTGCCATAGCAGTTTGGATTTGTTGACGTAAAAGTTCAAGGAGCCAAACCACTGACAAACAGAGCAAAATTTTTCGCATTTTTGTCATACCAAAAAAGAATATGACCCACAGTGGGGTGGGGCTCCAGGAAACACATAAATTCTGAGTTGAAGGAAAAAAAAAAGCTACATGTCCATGTTTGGTCAAGGAGAAAGCTACTGGGATGTCTAGAAACAGGCAGAACCCCTCGTGTCAGGTACTCCTAGAATGAAAGTACTGAGTTTTTGAGGTGTATCAAATACATAACTTCTCTTCCTGTAAAATCTTTTGCCAATGTTTGAAATTGTGTGGAGTGGTCAAAGAGCTAAACTTAAAGTCTCTGAAAATAAAAGCAAATATATATTTTTTAAATCAATGATACAGAATCAATAAGCTCTATTTAATTCAGGCATGATAAAAGCAAAGAAAAATCACATCTGATGTTTTTAAGGACTAATGAAAACTAAAATAAAACCTTCAAAGTATTAAGAGGAAAAAGAAAAAAAAAAAAGATGTTACCTTTAAAGAAACAGCAATATGATTGACAACTACCTCGTCAATAAATATGAAGAAAGTCAGAAGATAACAGAATGACAGTTTTAAAAGGCTAAAGTCATTTTTAAAATGTCATCCTAGAATTTATTCCAGCAAAAAAAAATTTTTAAGAGTAGGTTTAGGTAAAAATTTAACACTGAAATAAAACAATATAATTAAAAACCAGCAGACTTGCAACAAAAATATGGAGAATTCCTGAGATATAGAAATTAAGTGCACATAGAAATGGAAATGTTGGAATAAATGAAGAGCAAATTTGTGAGTAAACTTGTGATTAAATATAAAAGAATATTGATTGTGCAAAAAATAATTATAATATCTCATTAGGGTTTAAAAGTATGGAGGATTATAATATCTGAAAAAATAATGAAAACATAGAAGAAGGAAGATGGAATTGGAAGGTTTAATGATCTGACAATATAGGGTAACTGATAAAAGTAATAATGCATATTAGATTCAATAACTCAGAGATTAATATGTTAATCCAGAGAAACAAATGAAAGAATAGAAAAAGAATGTATAAAAAAGAATTTAATTGAGGGGAAACGGTATAAAATGGTAGATTCATTAAAATGAACACAAAAGAAAAAAGAATATAAAATAAAATGCACAAAAGAAAAGTAATAAAATTATTTCAAAAACTAAATGGAAAATCAAAGGATCAGGAAAAGCAAGGTATCTTAAAACTGTTGAACAAGGCTGGACATCAAGAACTATTATAAAGTCATTGTAATTAGTATGGTATGGTATCTCATTAGACAAATAATGCTCAAGAATAAACATATAAACTAGCAGAAGAGAAAAAAGGTATCAATAAAGAGACCCCCCCTCATAAATAGTCATTTGATTTATGACATTGATTATAGTACAGTGAAGAGAGGTTGTGTTTTCTTCTCAATGGCCTTTTCTGATTCCATAGGATGCTAATATGAAAAATAATTAACTCTTCACCTTTATGTTCACAAAACACATAAATATCAATTCTGGATGAATTTAGAGTTAACTATGAAAATGAAAACAATAAAAACCATTGAAAGAAAATAGTAGATTGGATGTATGACTGTATGTAAACAATGATTTCTTTTAAAATATGAAAAGAATAATACCTACAAAGTAAAAAATGATAATTTGGACTGCATTAAAAGAAAGAATTTCACACTCAATAAAAAATAGACTGAATAAAAATGGAAAGAAAATGATAGAAAAAATGTAGTTTACAAATACTAAACAACAGAAAGTTAGTGTAACTATACATACACCAGATAAAATTTAAGAAAAACTAATTACTAAAAAATAGCCACATCATAATATTAAAATTGTATTCACACTCAAAATTTATACAATTTTGAAATTATAATCTCGAAAATGTAATTCAAAATTCACATAAGGAAACTTTAAAATTTGAAAATCATTGTGGAAGATTTTAACACATATATATTACTAAATAATACAACAAATAGAAAAATCAATGTTGAATATGAAAGAATTTTATGATTCAAAAAGAACACTAGAACAAGTGATTATGGAATATATACTATTTTTTAGTACATATAGGATAATTACAAAAATTGAATATATATTACATCACAAAGTTAGTCTCAACTTTTAAAGGATTGAAATCAAAGAATATTTTGTGTTCAAAAATTACTAGAAATAATAACTAGAAAACTGCCACATATATTGATATTTAGAGATAATGAAATAATTCATGGACCAAAGAAGAAATGTAATATAAACTTGAAAATGTTTGCTAATAGTCAACCAGAGAAAATTCTACACAGCCAAAGATGTAAGGGGCAGCTAAGCAATATTTGGAGAAAAAAGTTAGCCTTAAAATTTTAAACTAGAAAATTTAAATGGTTGATGAATAATCAACTTAGAATTCATTTGAGGGAGCTATAAACATAGATCAAAATTAACACACAAAAAAAGTAAAAGCAAAGCAATAATATAAAAATCATATAATGTGGATGATAACATAAAAATTAGTTCATGAAAAAAGTTATTAAATTGGCAAAGTAATGGTGAGATGTGTCAAAGAAAAAAGAAAAAAAGATGAAATGATATTAAAATGCAAGAGGGTGACTGACCTTAAAAATACCAGTCTTTGAAAAAGTAAGAGGATACTATGACCAACTGCATACCATAAATTGAAGTTAAATTTAAATGAATGAATACCTAGAAAAATATAATGTGTAAAAACAGACTCAAAGAGCAGAAAAATCTGCATAATCATAGTACCGTTAGAGACATTAGATTAATAGTCAAAAACATCTCTACACAAGGGAACTCCAGGTGAAGTTAGTTTTACTGGTGAAGAGTACCAAACATTCACCATTTCAGGGACTAGAAAGAGATGGGATAGAAAGTGAAAAGATAATATGAGAAAAGATCATTATAAGTTGTAATTACAAGCTATAACCATAGGGTTCACTCACAGCTGGTCAGTGGTAGACTTATACCTATTTCTAAGGATGCTTGGATCCATGGGAGGGACCCTTACCAAGAAGCAAATAAAACAGATTGATTAGTAAATTAAAATATTCTGTTTAGAGTAAAAAAAAAAACAAAAAAAACAAAAAAAAAAAACTCCCCTAAAGGTCTGAATCAGCTTTCCATGATGTTATTGAAAAGATACAGATTAACTGTCTACATACATTTGTCTTCATTTTGAGTCTGTAACCAGTGGGATCAACGCAACCCAACAGTTAACTTGAACCTTGGATTTCATGAGAATGATATATCTTGTACATATTTTGGTTTTTGTCAGTGATTTAGAGTCAAACCACCTTCTGTGCAACTATGGGACCTCCCTAATATTGCCCTAGCTTTCTTCTTTCCTTCTTCCTACTGTTGTGGTGCAGTGTATCCTTTTTGAAGTACATGTGAATTGTTATGGTAATAATTTTTTGAGTCCTTTCAGTTATACAACCCAGTGTAATTTGTACATAGACCAATCTTAATTATATTTGGACATAAAATAATTCTAAATAAAATATTAATGAATGCACTTGATTAAATAATAAGTTAAAACCCGGTAGGATGCATTCCTGGAATAAGGATCAATTTAATATTAGAAAGTCAATTACAATAACAGATTAAATAATATATGTTCATAAACAGATGCAGAATTGATAAATTTAACATCCATTAACTATGGAAATAGCAAAGAATGGAGTGAATGTCTTTATGACAATCAAAATATCATCTTTAATTATGAACACTGAAATCATTCTATTTGACTTAGTGAAGAAGAAAATAAGGTACTCTGCCTCAGCTTCTATTTACTATTGTATTATGCTTGTGGTTCCCTGTACCCAGTAAAAAACTAAGAAAATAAATAAAACTCCTATGCATTAGAAATAAAGAAACAAAACTGCCTTTATCAGATGATAGAATTATAAATGTATCTAAAGACAGA